ACTAAAGACAAGGAAGATGAAAAGGACATACAAGAAACAATCTAAAATAGTTAACTGTACTATGTACTGAAAGTAATATAAAGAAGAATTAGACTGAGCCATTATTCCTAAGAAACAGTATCTGGTGGGAACAGAGCAGACATACATAGTCACACAAGTAGGCTAGAACGAGAGTCTTAGTATTCTGTGAGGTTGTGGGAGAGGAAGAGATCAGTTCTGTGAGGGGAGTTCAGTTCTTACTGGGGGCTTGTCGGTTTCAGGAAAAGCTTGTATTTAAAATCAATATTGAAATATGGAGAGGGCTTTGAAATGTCAGGATATGGTAAAATTTATTATGTTAATAGATAAGGTAGATATTAATAGATAAGGTTAATGGATAATATATTCATATTATCCATGTCTGTTGTAAATACTTTTCAAAGCACAGGGACAGTAAAATAGCATAGCATTTGAACTTGGAAGATTTCAGTGTGTGTTTATCAGATAATTCATTTATAATCAAACTTAACTTTTCTGAGCCCATGATTTCTTGACCATAAAATGAGGATAATATTAAAACCCACACTGATGTTGTGACAAATGAGATCACGTGATTGGTTTGATTAAAATAAAGCTTTCATTTCCCCACTTATTGCTGTCCACTGTGCTCTGTAAAATCCCCATCAACAGCTAAGCAAGGGGCTTCCTGAAAGACATCTCAGTGTGATTTCCTGCTTTTTCTTTCACTTTTATTAAAAACAATCTCATTTGAGTTGAGACTAGGTTTCAAACTTTAAAAATACTTCAGTTTCGGCACATAGACTTTTGGCTCCAGTCACATGGAGCAGAAAAGGGAGGGAGGTATCTTTCAGTCTCTATTCTGTCTTCCTCTTTTTCCTCTCATGATGTTGGTCTTGGGACAAGGCAAAGAGAATTATAAATTGATCAATCCATAGAGACAGAACAAAGATTGTTTTCTACAGAATTTTAATAATCTGTAGGAAGGTTATATTCTTTTTTCTTTTCCCCCTTTTGACTTAGTCTTTGTATGCATATTCTTTTTTGTTCTCATAAATGTTTGAGTTAGATTTTCTTGAAATCTTAGCATATGGCTTCTGGAGAGAACCAAGGGGTGCTAGTGGTTTTTCAGATTTGAGAGTCAAGGGATCCTGGTCCTTCTCCATCAGTAGACTGTTTTCTTTCGATAATTGGGACCACTGAGCATACACTCTGATTCTCAGAACCCATCTTGGTTCAGGCCTTAGCCTCCAGCCCCATTCTTTCCTGATTTTCTCATGGCTGCCATCAACAAGTGACCCACATCTTGTCATATTTTTTCTGAGGTTTTCTGAGCTTTACCTCCTCTGAGTCCTGTGAACAGTTTTCAAACCTACTCTCAATTCGTCCCCCGAGGGCTTACATTCTGTTCCACCTCAGCGCGGCTCACAGCACTTACCTCTGAGGCAAGGCCTTCCTACTCTTTGAGTGTAAATACTTTCCGGAGATTTCTGAGACCTTCTGCCGGTTAGACCGCTTTGCAATCCCCGCTTGGTTCACAGCATCGTTTCAATTTCCTGTATGGGCTTCCTGCCAGCCTCTGACTTTGTTCGCTTATGTGCCATTTGGAGCTTGTCAGTTTTCTTCAATTTAAATAAACATATAATTTATGCATGCTTTCTATTTTTCTTTCTTTTATTTTCAAAGAGTGATAATATTCAAATCTAAGCTGCTGCCGTGTTTCTAATGGAAACATATCTTCGTTGAATTTTATGACTGCAACATCCTCATGTATCTCTCAAATTTTTAAATATACTTAATACAACACTCCAATCTGCTTAGTTTTGATAGGTGAAATTCTCCTTTAGACCCTGTTGCCTCTAATTTTTGCAGATTGGAGTAATGTGGGTAATCATTAGTCAAATCTGTTTCAGCTGCCTTCACTAATCAGGGTCGTTTTATTATTGTGAGAAAAGACTTGAATGTCCTCTAAGCAGCACGTGCCCTAAATAAGACATTTGCCTGAATTACTTTCCAGGAATTTTGAGTCAGCTGCTAGTCAGCCTAGTTTGAGCTCAGCTAGTTGAGACTGGATAAAACCGCTGACCCTCCAACTGGGCGTGCGTGAGTTTTCGGCACTCTATCCTCAGATCTTGCTAACAGCC